CTGTTCACCGGTTCATTGTGAGTGCCATCTTGCTGGCTCTCAAACGCCCTGGAGAAGCAGGAAGGGGCTTTTGACTACCAGCAGGGGAAGATTCGGAAGTGCCGCGGATCTTTGGACACCTAGATTCCCTGCCCATTGAACCTCCTTCATCCAAGAGAGAGCTTGGACACCAGGGGAGGAACAGGGAGGCGGTAGCAGAACCAAGAGGATGAGAGAGCGGTGGATTTCCCTGCCCACACAGCAAGGGCAGCTGAGTGCGTTGGGGTAGAAGGAGGGCATGTGGAGTGAGGTCCTTGAGGGGAACTGGGATTGCTGGCCCACAGAGTTGAAGCTCAGTGTCTTTGGGTGGAGACTTACCGTGAAGTGGCATGCCCTTTGGGTATTTAGTGGCAGTCTGCAAGAGCTTTGTAACATTGCTTGAACAGGGCAGAGACCAGGCTAAGGGCCAAAGAGAGGCCTGCCTGTGGGTAAAGCGGATAAGAAATTACCTGATGGAACAACTGTATCCTGAGCATTTCTTTCCTGATTTGTAACCTGTTAACTCCCCTAATAAACTCCAGCATCGTGAGCACTGTGAGTTCTGTATGGCCATTGCAGTGAATTCTAGGACCCAGCCACAGAAGCTGACCGCTGTGGGATGAAGGGCGACAGGAATGGAGGGGGGAGGTACGTCTGACGTCAGCCTCCTAGAAGGCTGTGCTTTGGGGGCTGCTGATACGGAGTTCCGTTTTCTTTCCCCCTTGTGCACCTGAGGAACAGCCGGTGCCACCCCTCGCCACTTCTCCCTTCAGCCCAACAGAGGGCACATATTTCGTGAAAGCCTGTCACAGCCCATAGAGGACTCTGCATACCCCACCTAAAATGATTTGGATGCATGAATCACACCAGATAAGGGGAATTTCACCGAGCAGTGGCACAAGGACATATGACTTGGTGCCTTGACTTGGAAAGCGACGCCGCCAGCATGTTAGTGCCATGAGTCACATGACCTGTAGGGTCATCCTCCACTCTGCACGGTGACAGCTGCCTCAGGGCCATGGACAGCTTTCGGCCGTGTACTGCAGGAAAACTAGAGACCACGCGGTGAGTGGTCACAGGAGAGAGATGGAGCAAGGCCTAAAACATCTCAATAGGAAAACCATCCAGGACAGAACAGGGGCCTCTGCTCTGCCTGCTAAAGGAATTAGGGCCCCTGTGAAACCAGTTATGAACAAAGCATTTGTAAGAACTGCTTTGGGGAACCCCTTGACCTGGAAGCCAGGCCCGAGTGAAAGTCCTGAGGCGGGGCTGGATTCAGAGCCAATCCTGAGACATTCTGAGACCGACTGCCCAGCGCAGCAGCCCCGATAAACGGAAGTGATTGATGAGACCCAAGGACCGACTGAGTAACTAAGAAGAATGGCAAGCCCCTCCCATTTGCAAGGACCACATAAGGACCCCTGGACAATGTCCTCATCTCAACTCTTAAGGGGGGACCCCCTTTGCGCCCAGAGCGAAGTGTATCTCAGCTATGCTCAGGGTGCTCCCTCTCACCGCTTTATTCCTTTTCAAAGGACTCTAGGCGTTAAGAACACTTTG